CAATGACACATCCTACAAGAAGTAATATTTGACTTTCTATTTCAGACAAAAGCATATGTATTAGCTTACTTTTTGGCACTCCATAGTCTAGATGGAGACTGTCCTGTGGAAGGAATAGGAAATGCTTGTCACGGACAGATGACGTAATCACCAAGCCAGACAGATAGATATACAGACTGATAGAGTCTTCTGAAGACCTCCATGGGTTCTGCACATGCGTTCCTTTTCTTAAAACATGCTTTGATACACTTACATGTTTAGTTTATATTTGTCCCAGACAGTATTTCCTGTGGTACAATTTTATTAGTTGTTCTTTTAGCGCAAGATCACCTTAACGGCCTAAAATATGGAAAAAATGTTGAAGAAAACACCATAAAGGAGACTGCTTCTTCGGAGCCAGGACCCAGCAATACCACTTTTGGGTATATACCTAAAGGATGCTCATTCATACCACGAGGATGTGTGCTTAACTGTGTTTATAGCAGTATTGATTGTCATAGCCAGAACTTGAAAACTACCTAGACACCCCTCGGTTGAAGAATGGATAAAGAAAATGTGGTACATTTACACAATGGAGCACTACTCACTGGTAAGAATTAATGATATATTGAAATTTGCAGGCAAATGGATGGATCTAGAAAACATCATATTGAGTGAGGTAACCCAGACCCAGAAAGACAAACATAACATGTACTCACTCATAAGTGACTTTTAGACATAAAGCAAAGAAAAACCAGCCTACTATCCACAACCCCAGAGAACCTAGATGACAAAGAGGGATCTACATAGAAAGGAGAAAAAGACAAGATCTCGTGATATTGGGAGCATTGGGGTCATGGGAGAGGGTAGAATGGGAGAGGGGAGGAAGGGAGAGAAGTGGAGAAAAATGTATAGTGCAATAAAAACAATAAAAAATACTATTTAATAAAAAAAATAGGAGAGTATTTCTTTGAAAGAATAGGTCCTTCAGGTTCCTTCTTCAGACCCCTCCATTACTGAGTCCTTATTTCTTTGGTAAGTAGGTTAGACTTGAGGACGTCACCCTTACACACAGGTCCGGATGACTTTCTCGTTCTTCCCTACACAGCTGCACTCTCATCCTTCCGTTGCTGGAGTTTTCTCCTCATGTCATTGAGACATCATGGGTCAGAATAAAACATACAGCTTTCCCCATTAAAATAAATGAGTTTGGGCAGGTGGTATAGCTCAGTTGGTAGAGTGGTTGCCTAGGCTGCAGAGAACTGTGGGGTCCACTCCCCAACAGTGCATAATAACCAAACCTGGTGCCATGTGCCAACAGTCTCAGCTAGAGGCATGAGGATCAGGAGCTCAAGGTTACCGGTAGCTCTCACCCAGCCTGTAACAGGAGGCCCTGTCTCAGAGGCAGAGGGAGTGGATTTTTAAAGTATATACTTAGTAGTGCATACTTGTAGTCTCAGCACTTGAGAGGCAAAAACAGGAGGATCATCAAAAGTTTGAAGGCCAGACATGGCCACACAGTGCAACATGTCTAAGAAAAAAAAAGGGGGGGGTGGAGATGGCTCAGTGGTTAAGAGCTCTGGCGCCTCTTCCAAAGGCCTGGGTCTCATTCCTAGCGCCCAATGGTGGCTCACAACCATCCGAAGCTCTAGTTCCAGAGGATCTGATGGCCTCTTCTGGCTTCTCTGGGTACCAGGCAGGCATGTGGCCCACAGACAGACATACATACAAAACACCCATACAAACACATTCCTAAAAGCTTTTAAAAGAGTAGATTTTTTTCTTCACGTAAAGGCCCCGCCACCGCAATGAAGTACCTTTATTTGAAAAGGTATGGTTTGGGGTTAGCATCGTCCTGCAGAGTGAAACTGAGTCACATTGTCCATGATGGGCTTGGGGCAGTTATTTAATGATGGGCACCTCCTTCAGCCAATGGCCTTTGACAGGCACATGGTATTTAAATAACTTAGGATTCTGTTGATGTGAGACAAGATTGCTCCTGGCAGCACCGATCTATTCCTGAGAGAGTGTTGAGCATCAAAGACATTCCACCTGGAGCTTGTTTTCTTCTTGGCAAAACTGGCCTTTGGGCAAGGAACTGCCCCCTGCATTGACCACTGACAAAATGCATGTTGTCCAGACAAGACAAGCAGGATACAAGCAAAAAGACTGCCAAACCTTGCCAAGACAGGGTAAGATGGTTTTGAAAATCTTCCTGCCTCTGAAAATGGTCTGTCAAAGTTGGCTGCTCCAACATTGCAAATGAGACTTTGGGGGATTGCCCCAGCAGCCAGTTGTCTCTGTCATCTACTGTACATTTTGGAAGCTGCTTGATTGCACTTCCTGCCTACTCAAGTAATATTATCTCTCTTCTCAGGCCTTTGATGGAGTTGAAGATTAGATAGTCATAGTTACTGTCCTCTTATGATCCAGCCAAGCCATTTCTAACACTTAGACTCCTTAGGATAGAATGATTATTGAAACACTTAGCATATATTTCTTGCTTAATATTGTTTATACTGGTTGTAATTCTAATTTTTATACCTGATATCTGTTCTTATTGCATATAGTTTTATATTGGGTTTGGAACTCTCTTATTTAGACAAAAGGGGGAGGTGATGATGAACCTCCTTCAGTCAATGGCCTTTGAGAGGCTGGACCAGGTGGGGCATGACTTTTGGGTACCAAAAGGCCCATGGGAGCACCTGCACATCACACCTGGATGTCGGACCCATTCCTATTTTATCATTGTGATCTGCGAGTTTCCCTTTTAATAAAGAAAAACCTTAGTATACCCTATTTGGTGATAGTGGGAGATTATTTGATTCGCGTTCCCCCATCTGACACTTTCCTCAGCTCCCTATTTGAAGTTTTGTCCTCTCCCCACTTCAGGTTGTACCCTCAAATACTGACACAAACAACCCATAATCTTAAAAGCGTTCTTTTAACCACCTGAAAATTTATCAGAAAATATATCTGGAACACCAGGAGTTGACTTTTTCTTCTAAAAATAAATGCTGGGACTGGAGAGATGGCTCAGCAGCTACGGGGACTGCCATTCTTCCACAGGACCTGTGAGTTTGATTATCTGGGGAAATAACTTTTGAAACACCAACTTTTCAAATGATTCTACTTAGTTATTCTTATTTGATGTGTATGTGTGTGCATACGTGTTGTCTACATGTATGCCTGTGCACCACTTATGTGCCTGGCGCTTGCTCTCAGAGGCAGAAGAGGGTGTCAGACTGGAGTTACTGATGGTTGTGAGCCTGCATGTGGGTGCTGGGAATCAAACCCCGTCCTGAAAGGCAGACAGTGCTCCTGACCGCTGAGCCATCTCTCCATTAGTTGTTGGCTTCCTTCACTGTTGTGCTCAGTCCTCTCATCTGCGTCCCCTTGGACATTGTACTTGGGGGCCAATATTTACCCCATCTGAGTCTGAAACAGTGCTCCACAGCGCCTCTAGGTGTAGCCAGAGAAGTCTCCCTGACCCCAAGTAAAACCCAGCAGCTGGCCAGTATTTTCACCAGTTAGGAATTAAAGGAATTTAGCCATAGAACTTGAAAATAAATTGAGTCTCTTTTTAGCCATTTTTTGTTTTTAGTAGAGACCAAGATCCCATTCATCGCAAAGCGTTTTCCTAGGTATGAATGCCTGTGTCTGCGCCAGGAATCACAATGATTGACTGTTACCCAGCCTTGGGTGGGGCGGGAGTCCTGGCTCCTTTTTTTTTTTTTTTTCTCTAAAGCAAAGGAAAAAACAACTGAGCAGAAACTTGTGCTTTCAATAGCTTTCTGTGGGAATGTAGATGAAAGAGGCTAGTTTTTAAAAATCCCCTTATTTCAATAATTATAAATATGATTGTGAAAAGCCAAAAAGAAAAGTGTGTTCCAGGTCAAGAGACAACTGACTCAGACTTGGCCTTGGGGGCACTAACTAACAGGGCAGCTTTAGTTGGTTAGCTTTCTCATCTAGCAGACTCTGGATCAAATGTTTACTTTTAAAATCTAAATATTTGCTTTTGCTGAAGCTAAATAGGAGTGCCTGAGCGTGGAGCCGAGCCTGTCCATACCGAAAAGAAAAGCCTTGTTGGAGGTTGAGGTGAAGCTAGCTGTGGGCCCTTGAGCAAATGTGAGAGAAATCATTATATTTCACTGGGTAACTTTACCGTTCTATAGCACACACCTCAAACTTTGAATTAAATATTTTCTAAAGTAATTTTTTAAGTTATCTTACGAAGTAACGGGTTTCATTGGGCATACAAATTAAGTGACCTACATAAATAAAAAGGCTTAAACTATCTCCAGTGAAGGAAACTCCGGGGCCAGAAACCCTCAATGTGACCTCAATCCCAAGCATTGAAGGTAGGGGTGCCAGCTGCACCGAATAAGAATAATGAAGATGTCTTCATTAATATGGTTTTGAGGTAAATGATTAATCCTTAAAATGCTGGGTAACCTGTGTTTGACGCTCTAATTTATATAAAGTAACAACAATAACAAGAGACAAAATCTGTACCCTGGAGTGCCTCGAATCTCTTCTTTCATGTTGGCTTTCTAACCTTTCTCCGTTTATTTGAAAGATATTTTTATTCCTATGAGCTCACGCCTATGGGGCGGGGCAGGCAGAAGAGGAGCTGCATCCCTGGGGGTTGGAGTGATGGAGTTACAGGTGGTTGTGAGCTGCAGAACCAGAGTACCAAAAACTGAACTCTGGGAAAGCAGCTCGCCCTCCTAACCGCGGAGCCATCTCACCAGCCCCGTCCACAGCCTTGCACCTGTCTTAGCGTCCTCCATCCAGTGGCTCTCACTCATTTCCTGTTTCCTTCTGTTTTATTCAGAAGCCTTTCCTTTTGCACTCAAGATTGGACCTTCTGAGCCGGCTTGAAATTAAGCTACTACTTGTTCCTAGGGGAGGAAGAAGCAGAGCCCGGAACTGCCAGCACAAGCGAATCGAATCCTCTCAAGCCAGGCGCAAGGCTTGCAGCTGGGCTGCTCCACAGTCCTCCTTCCTCAGCTTGTTCCTACTTCTCCCGGCAGCCTCTAGCAAACAGTAAGCAAATGGCATGAACAGACAGCATGTCAAAGATTCATTCACATCCAGAAAGCTTTTCTGATCACCTCAAATCCCATTTCTCTTGGTTTAGAACCAGGTCCCCGCCACCACTACCAGATCTTTGCAAGCTTCGAGTGGTCCGTAAGAAAATGCAATCGAACCAAGCACGAAAAAATATGTAGAAATTTGGGCACTGTTTTGAGAGTTGATTGTACTAAGAAATCATAATTAAATGTTCTGGGATGTGATAACAATATTTTGGTTATGTTTAAAATAATAACCTCGAAGTCAGACAGTGGTGCACGCCTTTAATCCCAGCACTGGGGAGGCAGAGGCAGGCAGATCTCTGTGAATTCGAGGCCAGCCTGGTCTACAATAGCTAGTTCCAGGATGACCAGGGCTACACAGAGAAACTCTGTCTCAAAATAAAATAAAAGTAAAAAATAAATGAAAATAAAAAAACCTCTTAGATCTAGTCTAGTCTCTAAATTGCACTACTGTACACAATAGTGGCCTCTAGTGGCCGCATTCATAAACTACAGCGCCTTAGAAAGCTAATTGAGGGATGGCCAGAGCATCATTTTATTGCCGTTGTCAGTGGTTAACAGATTTTCACAGCAGAGTTAGTTTTTTTAAATGACAATTTGTATGATTTTCCCAAGATACCACCTACTACAGAACAAAATAGGAGATTATATTATGCCCTCAAGGTAAGAGAGATGCAGTTTGCATTGGGAATATTTAACATATCACATATAGTTTCTAAATACACACACACACACGCGCACACACACACACACATGCACACACACGCACACGCGCGCACACACACACTTTATTTTTGCATTCCTTATTTGGGAACTAGACCTGGAGCATCTATGGGCTCTGCAGACTGGCCTTTAGATGCTGCTCAGCTGAAGCACCCACTCTGCACATACTTCGCATAAATCCTCTCCCAACTACAGAGGCATCGTGAAGAAGTCACCTAAACTCTGCTAAACTTTTCAATGAGTGAAGTCTCCTGTCTCCCAGAATCCCATCTCTAGGACGGCTCCTGAGCATCGCCAGAGTCGGTACCAACACAAATTTAAAATCAATTAAAAATAAACTATTTTTTTTTAAAAAGATTCTTGCCTGAAGACATGGTCCCTGCCCCACTCACCCACCCCTGCCACATTCCTGCATCTAGACCTTACCAAGGTCCTTTACTGGTCACAGGTCTCGAATACACCATGTTAGAAGGCATTTTTAAAACTAAGCAAAAGACAATACTACGACAGGCTCTTTTTTAGTAGTGGGACCTATACCCGGGACCTCTGCACAGCAGGCGAGCTTTCTAGCACTGAGCATCTTTGCTTTTTATTTTGAGAAAAAAAAATCATGAAATTGCTCCTGCTGACCCTCACACTGTAGCCCAGGCAATCCTCCTGCTTCTGCCTCCTGAGTAGTTGGGAGGCCCAGCTTCCGAGCAGAGGAGATTGGCTTTGTAGATGGGGTTAAAGAAAGCAGATATAAGAGTAAAAGTCAGAACTGAGGCTTCTAGGCCTGTTCTCGTGGCGCGGTAGCTTTTAGCTTATGCCATCCCTAAAAATAAAGGTATTTTTTTAAAAAATATTTATTTATTTATTATGTATACAATATTCTGTCTGTATGCCTGAAGGCCAGAAGAGGGTGCCAGACCTCTTTACAGATGGTTGTGAGCCACCATGTGGTTGCTGGGAATTGAACTCAGGACCTTTGGAAGAGCAGGCAACGCTCTTAACCACTGAGCCATCTCTCCAGCGAGTTTGAGACCAGCCTGGTCTACAAGAGCTAGTTCCAAGACAGGCTCCAAAACCACAGAGAAACCCTGTCTCGAAAAACCAAAAAAAATAAAAAAAATAAAGTTAATTTAGTAAGTTTATACACATAAGACACACATGGGCCTTTTGAAGGCTGTCTGAAAATGAACAAAATTTTGAAAGAAAAAAAAAATCTTAAATTGACCTTTTGGACAGTGACTTTGTTAAGCTGGTTGGTGCTCTGAATACTAACACCACGTGGGAACTTCCCAGTGGTGATCAGTGCATTCCCAGGGGTCTGAATATTCACTGCGGATCTCTGAGAAGCTGCCGGAGAAACCTGGAAAGAGACTGGGGCTAGTTTTAGAACACTCCACCGTGGGTCAGCAATGCCTCTAAAATCTGAACGTGTAAGTCATACTGATTTCAGAAGCAAAATCAAGACTAGGGAAAGTGGACAAAACTATTTTGGTCATTTAAAAAGAAAACAAGGGTCATGAGGTGACCCAGCCCGTCTGAGCATTTGCTGCCAATCACGGCAACCTGTGTTCAATCAAACCCGGGCGCCCACAGTAGAAGAGCTTCAACTCCCAAACGTTGTTCTCTGACCTCCACACGTGTTCTGTGGCACACACACACACACACACACACACACACACAGGCACACATTATTTTAAAGGAAATAGAAGTCAGGCGTGATGGTGCAGGCATATAATCTTAGCACACAGAAAGTCAAGACGGATGAGTCAAGATGATCAGGAATTCCAGGCCAACCTGGGTTACATAGTGAAGTCAAGAAAACAGCAGCAGGAAATGAGCTCCTATGAAGCAGCAAGTCCCTAATATGGTGCCTAATGTGAGGGTCAGGACACAATTAAAAACATAGAGACTTCCACCTCATGGATACTTGCCATAATCCACAGACCCAGGCCAGGCCGAAGAACTGTGTTTTAAGGTTTATTGTTATTTTTAAATATTAAAAGTTTGTGAGATCTCTCCCTTTTTTGTTTTTGTTTGTTTGTCTGTCTGTTTTTGAGACAGGGTCTCTCTGTGCAGCCCTGGCTGTTCTGGAACTTGCTCTGCAGACCAGGTTGGCTTTGAGTACACAGAGATCCACCTGCCTCTGCCTCCTGATCTTTCTCCATTTTTAAGTGAACTTTTTTTCTTTTTTTCTTTTTGAGACAGGGTTTCTCTGTGGTACAGTCCTAGTTGTCCTGGAACTAGCTCTTGTAGACCAGGCTGGTCTCAAACTCAGAGATCTACCTGCCTCTGCCCCCCAAGTGCTAGATTAAAAGTGTGTGCCACCACCGCCCAACTTTAAGTGAACTTTTAAAATTGGCATCTATCTTATGTAAACCCCCTCCCCTGTTCCCCTGATTTTGAGATAGTCTCATGTAGTCCAGGGTAGCCTCTAACATTTTATTTTTCTTGAACTTGTGTGTGGTGTTATTGTTGTTGTTTTTGAGACAGGGTCTCATTATGTAGCCACGGCTGGCCTGGAACTCAAAGAGATCTTCCTGCCTCTGCCTTCTGAGTACCGAGATTAAAGTTGTACACGCACAGTTGGCCTGTTTTGTTTTTTGAGACAGGGTCTCACTTAACTCGGGTCAATCTTAAATTGCTACTTCTCCGGCCAGGGTCCCAAGAGTTGGGATTGCTGGCACGCCCCACCCTGCCCAGCTCAGCTCTGAATCTGGAAACATTCTCCTGAGCCCTGTGTCTTTTAAAGCAGCAGATCTTTTTCCAAAACAAAAAGCCCCGCCTGGAAAATGCAGTAGAAAAGAGGGGAGCTAGAGTTTTGCTTTTCTTTGCTCCTGTGTTTTGGGGGACCTTTCTTTAAGGAGTGAAAGCAACAGAAACGAGCCTCCATCTGAAAGACACAGAAAATAAAGATATAGTTCTGACCTCGACTTTGCAACAATTTGCTGAGCATCTCTGGGGGCAGGGACTTTGGAGTCTCCGGGTCTGTTTCCTCCCCTGTAAGTTGTTGATAGTACAAATACTAGATGTAGGCTGTGGAGGGGCTAAGGAAACGGCACGGGGTGTAGGTGGGAGGATGACTTTGCACAAATGGAAGACCTGGAAAGCTGGCTCGTGCAAGACATCCAGTCCCTGTTCCACAGCTCATCACTGTGGCCACATAACGTCCTGTTGGGAAGAGGCATTTGTGCTGTAACCTGGATCTGACACGTGCACATGGAAAGTGCACGTGTTATGGGCTTGCTTACCAGTGCCGTCGCAAGGTAGTGGATCTCTTGGAAGGCAGGGAGCTTCACCGAAGGAGGTGAGGTCACTGGGGATATGTCTTTGAAGAGAATATCAGGACATTGACCTCTTTCTCATTTCCCAGCATCCAGGGAGAGAGCGTGCTGTGATGTGAGTTCAAGGCCATCCTGCTCTACACAGTGAGTTCCAGGACAGCCAAAGATAAGTAGAGAGAGATCATCTCTTAAAATTAATTAATTATTAATTAATTAATTTAGAATTATGGCACATGATAAAAAGCTACACAAGCTTGTCCAAATAAGGTCAGGCATTCAAAAGGTACCAAAGTAGAAGTTTCTGTTGCCCTTGGATAGTCTGTTCCTGGGTGGTGCCTGGGTGGTCTCTGTTGAGCCTGCTCATGGCTGGTCCCTACAGTTTCCTCCGTCCAAACCTGCCGCCTGCCGCCACCACACCTTTCTGAGCTTTTATTACAGATTTACACAAGCACGAACATAATGTGTAAGTTAGGAAGTGTCTTAAAATATTGATGTGTAAAGTGTGTGTGCCTGAGTGTATGTATATGTACCATGTGTGTGCAGTCAGAGGCAGTCAGAGGACTGCATGGATCCTGGAGTTACAGACGGTTGTGAGCTGCCATCTGGGTGCTGGGAACCGAACTGGCGTTCTCTCAAGAGCTCAGGTGCAGGAAGCACTCTTAACCGCCGAGCTATCTCCTCAGTTAGGAGGCTTTGTTTTTACTGTTTATGGAGGCGGATTTTTCATTTCTGTTTTTCAGTCTCTGTTGTTGCTGTTGCTTGGCTTCTGGGTTTGCTTTTGAGACTGGTCTCAAATTCACTAATGCAGCTGGATGATCTTGGGTTCCTAATCTTCCTGCCTCACGTCCTGGGATGACAGGCAGTGCTCCCGCACCTGACTGGTGCCCTTTTTGTCTTTTCTGACACCGTGGCTGTATTTATTGTGGCCAGCAGCTCGTGTCTTTATTATCCCACTTTGTAGCTGTGCCATCATTTGCTCCTGTATTTCCTTTCTGATGGACACTCGGATCTTTACAGTATTTTGCAATTAGAACTATACTCCAAGAACACCTTTGGATTTACTTGTTTGTACTCATGGATTCTGTTTCCATAGGATACTGCTGGGATGTTAAATGCGCACACTCCCAGTGCCCAGGGCATGACCACCACACCGTTACCTGCAGTGCAGAGACAGAAGGGTTGCAGCGAGATCACAGCCAGCAAGACTCCATCCCAAATAATAAATATAAAATTAGTTCTAAAACAAACATCATTTTTATTTTTTTTAAAAAAACCTATCTTTCATGAGAAAAAAGTTCTACATTTGAAGCCATACAAACTACCAAATATTTTTGTTTAAGTTCCTGCCACTTGAGTAAAACCAAATGAGAGTAAACATTTGTAAGTGGCATTCCCTATCTTATCTACGATGCTTAAATGGCTTCTGGAAAATAATCTAAGTACAAAAACAAACAAACCAAAAAAAACCCCAACTTTTAAGATTTAACAGCAAGCAAACACTTCCACTACAAAGGGTGTGGCAGGCTACATTCCTGGCTGGAGGCTCCACAGGAGTGAGTGGCTGGTTACCATTTCCATCAGCTTCTAGAAACTGCCACGCTTTAACTCGTATCCCCTTGTAGCCTTCTCTCATCTCATCGTGCTAACCCAACTCTTGAGCCTCCCTCTTCAGTACCAAAGAACACATTTTGTTTGTGTGGGATCCTCCCAGGTGGCCAAGATAGCCTTGTTACTTCAAGGTTAAGTGATTAGCATTTCTTCCCAAACCTCCTCAGAGCTGTGTGTGTTGTTGTGCCTGTAATCCCGAACTCAGGAGGCCGAGGTAAAGAATCAAGAGTTAAAGACCCAACCTGGGCCATAGAGTGAGTCCCAGTCTCAAAAAGAAGGCTCCCAGGTTTGAAGACTCCAGTCCTCCAAGAGCTGTCAACACTGTTGCTTTTAGGCCTGTGTTGTCTTGAGGCCTCACATCATGATGGAACAAAACCACCCACCTCACCGTCAGGAGGTGTAACAGGGGATAAAGAAAGGCCCAGATCCCATGAGGCCTTTCAAAAACAGGTCCTCGGGGACCCAAGAGCGCTGCCCTGAGGAGCGAGCTTCTACCACCTGGGCCTTTGGGGAGCTGCTTGAGATGAAACACATGGCCTCACTTACCCAGACAGTCATTCACCAGGGCCTAGGGTTCTCCGCATCATTTATATAGAGAAATGTGCTCTACCGAAAGTCAGGTTTTACTGCAGTCTGCCTCACTTCTGATGAATGATCTCGTCTCCAGAGTGTAGGTTGGCCTTATTGTTTTGAAGGCTGCCTGCTGTGGATGGTTATGGCTGCTAGGATGTGCCCCTTAGCCCCTCCTGTTAGCATTTGTGGTGCTTCTAACTGCAGATGTGCTGAATGGGGGCATCTGGGTGGGAGTGTGGGGAGGGCCGTAGGCCTCTATGTCTCCCACTGTGCCCGCCTTTTCAAGTGTCATGACCTCAGGAATGGGGACCTGGCAAGACACAATGACCCTTTTCTATTCCTTGGAACAAGTGGTTTCCTCTAAGGAAGGTACTTTTCCGGAAAACATGTTATTTCAAGGCCTCTTGATTCCAGAATGCAGCAAGTCCCACAGAGAAACCCGCCAGGTTTCAGAGCCAGGGACTGTGGAGAGAGGCCACAGTGGGGGTGCCCTTCCCCCTGTCTCCTACAGCTACGGACTAGGATCTCCATCTTTCATCTTGCAATAAGCTAGGTGGGCTTCTCATTCCTGCACCCCAGCACATTATGGTAGAGGCCCAGGACCCACACAGCTCATTCGTCCTGCCACTCGCTCATCTAGGGCTGGAGCTGACCAGGAAGCCCCCAAGGCAGGAGGGAAAACTGGACCTGCAGATGCAAGATGCAGTTAATCTGACCAGGAGCTTCACACTCTAGTGGACTGAGATCTGTTCTTCCAGGGTCCCAGACCTCATCAGGGGGTCGGGGAGGTCCCTCAAGGGATGCCCTCGGCTCAGGAACTGCCAAGAGAGATTGCAGGTGGCAAAGGCCTTATCTTCAAAGCAGACATGCAACCAGGGATGGGTGTCAGTAAGATTTGCTTAGGTAAGCCTGAAGAGCCTGGTCCCCCAGCTTCCGTAACTCCTGAAGATGTGAACGGGATCCTGCTGAGGTGACACACACGTTATAAGCAGCCCAGCCTTGCTCCGGAGGAGTTTCTACTGGCCTGAAGCACTCACACACAGCAGCTGGGTACCCCCGTCTGTGCGATGGAGGTCATGGGCTGCCCTGGGCACTGACAATATATGGTGAGAACATGGTGCCTGTCGCAGTGGGAGGCTCTGTGGAAACTGGCCGTAGCTCCAGAGCAAGTGGAAAATGTACCAGATTTGGAACTGGGAGGGCCGGGTGCCAGGGTGGCTCTGGCCCAGATTCCTAGGCTGGCCTGGAGCAGCTGCTGCCCTCCCTCACCACCGCCAGCAAACCATTCCCCACTTTGCTGGTATTCCAGGGCCATTCCGTCTTGTCCTTATACTGCTACCTTCCTCTCTTGGGGACAGTGGGTAGAAGACAGCCTTTGGCAGTAAGAGGGCTCCCTGCTGGCTGTTGCTGGGCCTCTCCTGCTTACACAACAGGCTGCAGTGGGAAACATGGCACACCACAGCCCTCATGCACCATTCGAATATCACACATACCAGACACAGCCAACACAGCACACAAACACCGCACCACCCACAGTCAAACTGCACACACACCAAACACACCAGACACACACAATACACACACTCATACTACATATACGAAATATACTCTGTATACACACACCACATACACTCAAAAACATACTACCCCTCAGTATCACATACCACACATCACATGTCATGTTAGCTAATTTTATGTCAACATGACACAAGCTAGAGAAAGCTGAGAGAAACGAACCACAGTTGAGAAAATGCCTCCATAAAATCAAGCTGTAGACAAGCGTGGAGGGCTTTTTTTGAGATTAGTGATTGATGTAGGAGGAGTCAGCCCACTGTGGGTGGGGCCATCCCTGGGCTGGTGGTCCTGGGTTCTATAAGAAAGCAGACTGAGCAAGCCATGAGGAGCAAGCCAGTAAGCAGCACCCTCCATGGCGTCTGCAGCAGCTCCTGCCTCCAGCTTCCTGCCCTGTTTGAGTTCCTGTCCTGACTTCCTTTGATGATGAACTGTGATGTGGAAGTGTAAGCCAAACAGACCCTTTCCTCCCAAGTTGCTTTGGTCATGGTGTTTCATCACAGCAATGGAAGCCCTAACTAAGACACCACATGTACTACACAGGTACTGTACACATTACACATACCACATATTATGAACCATATACATGCCACACATCAGACACATGCAACACACCATCTATACACATGCACATACACAAACCATGCACACATCACAGCCTAAAAAATGGCCGTTCACTCACCAATGCCATTGTCAACCCTTATGTGGCAAGATTCAGGGACCTCTCTCTAGTCTCTTCTGACAGCCTCCTGCTGTCTTTAGTCAGTGCCCCAGCCTCTCAGACTCATCCTGTCCCCATGGGGTTACCAGATAGAATGCCCCTAACCTAACACTTAACCTTACATAGCCAATAGAGGTTTCAGTGTGCATTCCAAATATCTCATGAAATACATTTATACTAGAAATTACTTACCATCTACGTGAATCTCCAGCTTATCTGTAAGTATAATGTTTTCATTCACTAAGACTGGCAACCCCACTCCCTAGATTCTGTATCCTCCCCGCCTTCCTGTCCCACCCTAGCTGTACCCCTCAGCCCTTTCCTTTGTCAGCTCGCCCCAGGGAGGACAACCATCCCTTTTCGAAGTCCTCTTCCTTTTCTGGACACCATCTCCCTGCCCTCAGACCGACCTCCACAGTCCTCTGAGAGCCTGGCCCCCTCGAGAGCCCCCTCCCCACCGCAACAGCAGCAGGCGGCCCTGCCCCCATTCACGCCTGGACCCTACACCTAGCCCGAACAAGCAAGGCTGCCTCAGTAGTATGCTTAGCATTGATTGCCTGGAAATATACCTCCTTTAGGAGGTGACTGGTGTCCAGTCTCACCTCCTTCGGGCCAGGCCAAGCTGTTGTTTCTCTGCCCTGCAGGTTCCCAGCACCTTCCTGGATCTGCTCACTGGTCTCTTCTCCCCTCCAGTCCAGCTCAGGGACCTCCTCCTCTCGAATTTCCCTGGGATCCCCACTGCCATCCACGGGTACCCAAAGCTTGTTGTTCCCACTCAGTTAGTGTGGAGACTCGGTCTGCCTGACTCCCACCTTCTCTGAGCACACAGAGTTCTGTCAGCACTCAATGAAGGGTAAAGGAATGAATGAATAAAACACACAGGTTATTGAAGAAAAAGGACTCGGCATGTGATTGGGTGAGAGATGGATCGTGTCATAGCTAGGGTATCTATTGCTGCGATCAAACACCATAACCAAAAGCCACTTGGGAAGGGTCCCCCTCGCTCCCTGACACAGGCTCCTGTGTTCATGTGCTTCATTGCATCTGGGGACCCCACCTCCAAGTAGTCTAGGTGTCCCTGGGGAGAGGACTCTGCAGAGAACCTGTGGACCTTCAAGAAAGGTCTGTTGAGCCCGCCTGGGGCAGAGCTGTGCCCGGGTGAAGCCAGACCACTGGCGAGCAGTCCCTCAGAGGGAGCTAAGGCTGACTCAGCTTGACTTCTTCCTCTACCCAGGCCCGCTTCCACCTTTCCACCTCACCCATCGCTAGCACACGTCTCAATACCACACTGACCCTCAGCCTCCAGGGAGTCCCCTTGCTTAGTCCCCAGGATCCCCTGCCGTCTTTCTGGCCTATCTATAAAAGCCCTAGTCCGGGACTTGGCATTCAGAGTGACAAGGACACGTTTCCAAGAGCTCCTGTGACCTCCCAGATTCACCCCACCCCCACCCCATCTAGCAGCCTGGCTCCCTTCCTCCACCCCTTCTTCGCCCTCTCCACCTCCACATCTCTCCAGACCCAAGCCTGTCGTTCTCAATCCTTCCTATGGCAGCCACGTCTGGACACCCCTACATCCCAGAGCCCCCTTGTTCAATCTGGTCCCCTTCGACAAAGTCTTGAGAGAGTCCCCTATTGAGGGCTAGGTGCAGATACACGATCCAGGAGGCCCATGGCTTCCCACTCTTCAGATCCTAGTCTTTAAATAGGAGATGGGATCTATTTCGTGATCATAGAGAGAGCAGATTTTTCTATTAATAAGAAACAAATGTCCTTTTATTTGTGGTTAAAAAAAAAAAACCCAGCAACTTCTTTCCCTGTGCTGAAACGTAGCAACATTTAACTTTTTTGGAATTATCTTTCAGTTCACGATGTTTCTATCATTCCTAAGTGACGCAAATCGCTCACGTCTGCTAAGAATAGACGCGGTCTGTTGGACTATAGCAATAAAGCAAGTCTTGTTCAAAACGTGTTTAAAGTCTTCTCGGTGGCCTTCCTGGTAATGAAACAAACACCTTGTGCTTTCTGTGGCTCTTTTTCTATTCTGCTTCCTTTTGTGGTTTTCCAAAGCAGATTTGGAAAGACCCATAAAAGGATATACATTTGCAATTATAAAATAAGTCACTTGTTCCCAGAAAACAGCTCTCTGGTGTCAGAATTTCAGGGCTGATTAAGGAGCAAGTCTCAGGGTTGGGCGGCACAGGGCATCCAAAAATACAAACAAACAAGAAGTAGTTCACCCAAATGTCCACTTGGGGGCGCTGGTTCCTTGGGTGGCAAGTAGACTTTGTCTCAAGCATCCTGCAGACTGGGTGCTAAACTAACCTGGAGTGAGGTTCCATAGCTGGCTGGAGCCGCCCCACCATAGAATGCCACACAGTGTCTGTCCACACCTCCTCAGGCTCCTCAGCCCCATTGTGATGAGTAGGGCCCAGCTTAGAGGTAACTCACACCTGATCCCAGTTTACCCAGGACACAGGGCAGAGCCAACAGAAAGGGAAAAATGCAAGAAGTTTATGGAACATAGAAAGACAAATATGGAGGCCTGGGAGGAGCGAGACACCAGACAACGCTTGCTGAAGGGGTAGGCGGGCCTGACCCACTAGCGGAACGACCGACTGCTTAGGGGCCGCCAGCCTCACACGACAGTCCAGAAGTTCTGGGCTCTCGGCAGGGGCCGGGCTTGGAGACCACGCCCTGTGACGAGCGAGGCTTCCCGGTGAAAAGTGGCCACGGTGAAGCTGCTCCTGGGCCCTCTCTCTGGGTCTTGGGTCTTCGAGTCGTAGCTGAAGTAGCAGAGGACGCAGGTGATGGCCACGGTGACAGCAAAGAGCACTGCCACCATTCCGATCACTGCCGTCTCCATGGTTTCTGAGTGGCACTTGTCTTATGTGGGTGGTCTCTGAGCCTCAGGGTCCCGTAGAAACTCACAGGGGCTCTATGCTGGGTGCCCCGTCGCTCCTCCGGCTTCTAAGACACTGGTCTGAGGCCTTGGACTGTGCCATCCTAGGCCACGAACCCTTCTGCTGGAACCAGACGATCTTTTGTCTAGTTTTCAACCGCGGGTCTGACCTCCAAGAGATGGATGTGGTCAACCCAACTAGCGGCTTCTTGAAACACCATCAGGGAAGATGTAAGCCGTGATTCCCTGGACGTGGAGGGGGCAAGGGAAGGAAGAAGGAGCAGAAGATGCTGAGAGAGATGCCAGGCCAGCCCTGGCCCATTAGCAAGGCCTCAGGACTTCAAGAGTGACTGATTAAATTAAAACAAACAAACAAACAAACAAAGCAGCTACTGTATAAACTGAGAGAAACAAAGGCCTCCCCCTTGGTGGATCCAGGAGGATCTTGGTTCCAGTGGGGGAAGGTCCCAGGGCCAGCCTTCCAATTGGCCTCTCTGCGGCCCTTCCAGCCCCTGGACCTGGACCGAGAGGCTGGTGTGGAGAAGGATACACGCCTGTCCTGAGCATAGTGGAGGGGAGGGGAGGCAGCACACACAGGTCATTATGGACGCCCGGGCCCTCCAGTGGGGGAGATGGGAGAGAGAGCAGGCTGTACTTGGCTCCACTTTGTGGAGTGGGCAGGGTTGGAAAGTGTGGCGTGGACAGGGAAGGACCTCCTCCAGCCTCTTTAGTGACGGCATCGTGGGACCCTTTCACTTTTCTATACAACCTCATGGGGCCCCCTCTTTACTGCCACCCAGGGCCCACAATTCTGGCCCACAGCACACTGGGTGCGGTGAAGACTTACCCTGGCTCAGAGGCGTGCCAACTCTGACTGTACCTTGTGTGCCAGACTCTTTGTCTGGCGACCACCCAGGTGGCCATAGACTGTCTTCCCCCAAGCCTGCTGTGGTTTTTGTTGGTGCTGCCTGGAGCTTGGCGCGGGGGTGTCTGTGCAGCTGTGAGTACTTCCTGTATCCCTTCCTCCAATTGTGATTGAAGGCCTGTGACCCATAGCCGCCACCTCCTCAGCTAGAGCACTCAGCCCGCCCCACTGCGCATGCGCTTGTGGGATCATTCCTTAACTGACCCTGAAGAGGTGTCAGGAGGGAGCCCAGCCCACTCAAACAGGGTGCCTCCTGAGACTGTACCACATCCAGCAAGGAATGGGTGTTATCGGCCTGCCCTTTGCCCATATTATGGAAAATGGAGCCTTCCAGAAACTGGACACTACCGGGCCGGTCTCATAAACACTGGTCCCACAGCCCTGAGCCGTGATTGGCACCTCCATTGGCACAGGTATAGCCACAGAGTATGTAGCCTGGCCAGGTCTGTTGCCAGTTAGTGAGGATAAGGATGAACCAAAAGACAGAGCATGGGTTCCTTTCCTGTACTCCAGCTAGCTCTTCACAGGGACCATTCAGAGCCACCACCTGACCACCATGTGCCTGATCAGGCCCCGAGGCCCCCAGCACCGCCCAGAAGGGACTGATCTGGGCCCAAGGTCATACAGTCAGGAACTTGTCCAGTTTCTCCCCGGTCCAAGAGAACTTTAGTAACAGTGTAGGCAAACTGCTCAGTACAGAGGAGAGCCAACAATGCATGGTCCTGTTCTAGCCCAGCCCCTTTCTGAGATGCTCCGACAATCTGGGCTCATCCTCCGGGTACACAAAGTCACTTGACAATATTCGTCTTAATTGGGGCAACCAGAATTGAGAGATGTAAACAGGACCACACACATGGAGGTTTCTGAACCCTCAGCAACCCCTCAAGGGGTTGGGAGATGAACCCCAGAGGTCGTTGCGAGGTTCATGGTTTATCTTGCTTCTCTTTTGCCGGTTCTTTGAGTCCGGGAGAAGAGCCTGGTATTCATCAGGAATACAGGACACTTGTCCAGTCTGTTACCTTCTACCTAAACCTCTCCCTCTTTCCCATCTTGACTAAAGGCATAGTCTGTGGGAAGCTACGGAAGTGGGCAGGTCCACATCAGGCAGAATGCAGGAGAGAGAGGCAGGAGTTGGGGCTGGGCTGGGCTACTCGCGGAGCTGACAGATGGCTGTCAATCCGTCAGACTTCTCATCTACTTTCCCATCACAGAAATTTAGTGTGGCTGTCATTGTCATTTACCTCCTGCTTCCTCGCTGGTTGTTCCTCCTCCAGTCCTCAAAGGGAGTCCACTGGGAAAGGCAAGGAAAAGGGACATTCTATTCCAGTGAGTCACTGACTGTCTGGCCAGCTCCCTTCCCCATGAGCCTTGGCCTGCTTCTCCCTCGTTCCCAGGCTTAGCCTGGGATGAGATCTCCTTCTCCTTCATGGACTCAACCTTGTGTGCCTATTGACTTTGGTAGAAGTCTCCACTATCCTTGTCATTTTAAGGAAGGGGAAACTGAGGTCCAGGCCAGGCAAGCATTCTCTTAAGGCCACCCAGCACTCCAAGTGATTTAAATAACTCTGTTCCCTCCTATCAGACGCTGCTGTGAATCCGCTAACCAGTTGGCTGGAAACTCAAGGTCAGGAGCAGAATCCCTACACAGTCCCCAAAGAAACACTGAACCAGTGCCGCCAGGGGGTGGCGCCTGCCCTGAACCAGGCTGGAAGGTGCACTGAGTGCTCAGGAGACCAGTCTGTGTGATCTCAGCTGTCCTTTCTCCAAAGCCCTGGATGTCCACACGGAACATTTCCTTGTACCTTAGGCAGGGACCACCTACTTCTCCCCATGCTACGGGCAGCTCCCAGGCCCTGCTTCTCATCCCAGAAGAGTTCCCAGGGCTCTGTCACACGGCCCTAGCGGCTCCCTCCTCCCAGTGTGCTACAATTAAGAACCATTTCACTAAACAAACAAACAAATAAATAAATAAACACATGCTTTCTGGTGGCTTTTATTTCTTATAGCCAAGCAACACTGAACGTTTGGATGAACAATGTACGGGCCAGGCTGTCGCACACATTCTGCCCCTTGAAGGACATCCCAGGGCCTTCCCACTCAGACGAGCACTTCATATCCACTGGGGCACTGCTTCTACCAGACACTCTTGTTACTTCTGGGGTCACCAGGGATTGTAGTCACAAGGTAGGGTGTCCAGCCAGCCCTGCTCCAAGCCCAAGCCCTGCAGTGGTTCTCAGGTCTCTGTTGCACAGTTCAAGAAGGGCTCATATACAAATGAAATCCAAGCCAAACTCAGCCCCCCCCCCCCGTATAACCCAAAGACACAGCCTCTTCTATGGAGACAACAGAGCCCACTCATTTCCATGCTGGGTGGAGGGCAGGGCCAGGTAGGTACCATCCATTGGCCTCAGTGGCGGGCTCCGCGAGCATGGTGATGGTGGAGACGATGAGGAGAACGGTGATGCTGGCGGTGGAGGTGCTGGTGGTGGTGATGAAAGCCTGCACTGGTCACCCCAGACACATGGCCACGGTGATGGTGAGAGACTCCCAGGAGACCCAGGCGCCGGCCATGGAAGAGTCGAGGCCGGGTTTGCCGGACTCGGTTTCTCTCCACGTCATGCTCCCGTGATCTGTGGAAAAGACAGACGGCCAACAGCATAACCAGCATTAAGAGAGCCAGCACAATGCCTGTGATCCAGCTCACGACGGTTGTGTTCCCCAGAAGGCCTAACATCTGGAAGCCAGAGGATCCCCCTTCACTCGGTGGTTCCCTTTAGCAGCCTCTGCTCGGCCCTCACAGTCCCTGAAGTTAAGGTTCTCTCGGTTCCCGCAGGCTGGAGAGCAGCCAGGGAATGTGGGAGAGGCCTGTTTGGACTAGCTTCTCAACCCAGAGCAAGGCCAGAAGGCTGTTTGAGGGGAGGCCCTGCAGGAAGAGTGGGTGGAGGCTGAGGAGTTGTGGGACTGACTCGCTTTAGGGATAAGAGGTCAAGATCTCCAGGCAGAGGGAGGGCCCTCCTCTGGCCTTCTACAGAGATTAAAGGTGTAGGGTTCGGACCCACACAACTCCCACGCTCTGTGACTTCAGCCTGCAGTGTCCTCCATAGTGAAGGGTCAGAGGCTGTCAGTGAGTCACCCCAAGACCTGTGAACATCAGTCGGGATGGCTGGAGCCTGATGAGGGCCACCTGAAGTCCACCATTCAAGGAGGCCCTTGCTTCTCCTGCTGGGTCTAGGAGGCCAGAGTGCTGGGTGTCAGTGTCGGGTCAATGGGAAGCAGAAGATAGCCACTTGACATCATCACACAGGCCAGGCTCTGGGCTCCCAGATCAACACTCTCAATGGCTGTCAGTCTCCTTGTTCTCTCATTGTCCCTGCCACAGAGCTCAGGCCATTCCTACCTGGCTGGGGACTCAGACGGTGATTGAAATGTGTGTCTTCAACAATCTCATTACTGACTCTGAAACTTCCAGCCCCCAGTGATCACAAATGAGGCTCATATTCTCCCAAAGCATCCCTGTCATCTCAAGCTGACTGGGATCTCTAATGTATCAGAGATGCTCCCCAAAGCCCCAGCCCTGTGTCCTGGACCCTCAGGGGTCCTTCAGTCCCTTCCTCCCAGCTCCTTCTGGTAAGTGCTAAACTTCTGCCAGGAGTGTTTACCTCAGTCCCAGGCTGGCTCTCAAGCTCCACCCTGTGAAGTTGGGCAAGGCTCTTCCTCGGGCCCATTGCAGAGGAGACCTCTAGGGTACTTCTACTCTATTCCCAACCGCGGCTGCTTTCTCTGATATCTTCAGTAAAAACCTGCAGCAGCTCAAAGGGCGAAATATCACCTTTGGCCAAGTTGATCTCGGAAGTAGCAGGTCTCATCACCCCGGAGGTGTCACCAGTCCTCTGGAGACATCACATGAAGTTTTAATGAGGCTTGAGTACAGAACTCCTCCTGTAGACTTCCGGGGCTTTGGAGCCAGCTGTCTTCCCTAGAGGGACAACGATGAGAAAGCCTGCTGGGACTGTGGGGAGTGGGGAGAGGAAAAGGAATCGCAGAAGACAAGGCTAGACAGAGAACCTCTTTCCGGGACTTCTCCTAGGAGACGCCCACTCCACACAAGCCAGGGGCTGCAGTGTGCAGACCTGAAGACCTTCAGTCATTCCTAATGGCCCCTGGGAATCATCCTCCCCCACCCCCGCCAGCACACCCTAGGGAAACTGAGGCCAGAGAAAGGAAGAAACTTTCCCGTGTCTCTCACCTTTGGAGGTTAGTGTCTACCACAAGCAATCAACAGCGCTTTAGTGGCCGTGGGGAGAGCTGTCCAGGGTGGAGGACACTTCCTGCTGCTGGGACCTCCACAGACGACAGAAGATGGTGCGCAGTAAGGGTGAGCATGAGGGGCCAGGGAATGAGAGACCAGAATCACACAGGGCATATTTAGTTTATGAGGTACACATTTTCTCTCCACTTGGATAGAAACTAGACTTTTATTTCTGTGACTGCTTCCCTGGTCATTTTGAATGGCCTGACTGGACACAGGGTTTGCTAGACTGACGGCCTTAGAGGGACTGGTTACGATGGCATAGTCCCGGCCTCAGCAAAGCTGTCCTGTGGCTCTGTCATTGTTTTTCCCCCTGCAGCTGAGTCTTTCTTCTGCAGTACGCCACGGGCATCTTTCTTTGGCAGGGCTTTCAGACTACCAGCTGGTATGCAAGACTTTAGAAGGTCTCACTATCTCCCTTCAGTCCCGTGCTTTCCAGGGTGTCTCAACTCGGCGACACTTTGCATGCACAAGTACACTTTAAAGCCAGCGTCATCCTGTGGGAACTCATGAGCTTCTTACTTGTCTTATGTAATTGTTCATACATGTTCCACACAAGGCTGTGGGTTGTTCTTGGTTGGCCCGCAAGAACAACCACATTGTTTTCACTAATTGGTGGCACCACCTAGTGGTGGCAGTGCATAAATCGCTTTTGTAGTCAGACCCATCAAAACTTTCTATTATCCTAGCTTTTGTTTGTAGACCATAATTAACAGCGGTGCATTTAACTAACTCATCATCCTAAGTTATCAATAACATGACCAAAGAATTAAGCATGGGAAAATAGTATTCCACAGTAGAAGTCAGTAATCACATCTTTGGCCCTGGTAAGTTCTGAGGACATTCCTGGGAAGGTACGTCCCAGTAGGGCTGTCCAAAAACTGTGCAAGAGACAGCCAGGCAGAAGAAAAGCCCAGAGGGTGGGCTACGGCAACAAGAAGCTGGGTGACCTTGACAACTAAGAGTGTCTGTCCCAGAGAATCCAGCCAGGGCTCCAGGCACCCTGACCTTACACAGAAATGCAGGGAGAGTGGACAGCAGGTTCCTAACCTGGACACTCAGGTCAGTTAGAGAAAGGAGACACAATGCCAGTGAACTGAGTGCTGCCAGGGTGGGCCTAGAAAACAAAACCATGGGTGAGCCGAGGGGAGGGGTCTCCAGTGCCTCGGAGGCAACACGCTTGGAAAAGTTCTACTTTAATATTTATAGATCCTAATCCCACGCCAGCCAAAACCAGAGTCCCTCCATTCAGTGAGTGTGTAAAGAAGAATCGGTAGAGAAGCAACTGTATCCCAACCATGGTCGCTGGGCTCCATGAGGAGAAACAGTAAAAATTCCCTCGTCTGTGCTCAACACACAAGGGTAATCTGTGTAACCAGGGTTTTTCTAATTTTACATATTTGCTGCTGCTGGTGTGTGTGTGTGTGTGTGTGTGTGTGTGTGTGTGTGTGTGTGTGTGTCTGTAGTACAGTTTGCACGAGTCAGTTTCTCCTCCTACCATGCGGGTCCTGACCCACACTAGATCCTCAAGCTTGGGAGTGAGCAACATCACCCAGCTGAGCCATCTCACCAGCCCGGGATGTTTATTTTTAATTAGGAACTCAACCCAGAACATTCTTTACAACTCAGAAAAAGATGGCATTAAAAGATAAGAGAAGGAAAAGGAAGGTCTGGAAATCAAACATGCCTCTTCCTTTTTGGTTATTTGAGACTTCCTTTCTCCTTGTACTCCAGGCTGGCCTGGGACACACGACATGGCCTAAGCTGGCTACCATCCTCCAGCACCGGCCTTCCAAGCCCTGGATGACACACACCACCATGCCCAGAACTCAACTATATTTCTGTAACTAATACTTTAAATTAGAGAACAGAGCCTATGGACAAATCAACATTAAAGAAGCAAAGGAAAGGGAGTCAGGGAGATGTCTTGGTGAATGAAGATGCTTCGCCCCCAATCTGGTGACCTGAGTTCCGTCCCCAGGACTCACATGGTAGAAGGAGAGCACTGATCTGTTCAAGTTGTCCTCTCATCTCTACACACATGCGCCACAGATGTAATAATATTATTAATGTATAATATATAAATAAAGAAAATGTAATAAAAACCACTTAAAAGAAATAAAGACAATCTCCTAACCTGATGAAGTAAGTCTTCTAATCAAAAATATGCTGAGTATGTTTAAAGAGGCCAAGCCACATAAGAAGGACCGATGAGGGGGCTGGAGAGATGGCTCAGAGGTTAAGAGCATTGCCTGCTCTTCCAAAGGTCCTGAGTTCAATTCCCAGCAACCACATGGTGGCTCACAACCATCTGTAATGGGGTCTGGTGCCCCCTTCTGGCCTGCAGGCATAAACACAGAATATTGTATACATAATAAATAAATAAATATTTAAAAAAAAAAAAGAAGGACCGATGAGATCTTAACGTCACCAAAATAATAATATTAATTTCCAAGGCAACAAGGTAAGACCAACATAGGAAAACATTGACAGTTTAATTTAAAACTAATCACAGTCTACCAAACAACCCAATTTACATAGATGATTGGAGGCTATGCCTGCCCCCACCCTGCATATTATATTCTAGCAGCCTTGTTTATAACTGCCAAAAATCTAGAGGTGGTCAAGGTGCCCTTCAAACGCTGGGGCAGCGAGACAGTGCGACGCTGTGCACTGTGAAAGAGAAACAAGTTATCAGCTCAGGAACTGATAGACACAAAGCACACACCTTTCGCTAAGTAAAAGAAGCCAATATGAAAAGACTGCACACCATGAGGACCCAGCCATACGACCCTGGAAAACGTGAAACCACAGAGAACTAAACAGGAGACGAGTGTTGTCGGGGAGCTAGGAGACGGAAGGAAAATGGAGCACAGAAACACAAAGCAGGGTGTGTGTTTTTAAGACACTGTAATGGTGACTACATGACATCATACAGTTCTTAAAATCTATGGTATATGCCACCAAGAGAGAGCCCTAATGTCGCCACGACTTTGAGTGGCAATGTGTCGACTGCAGGCTCATCCATTAACAAAGGCACTGACGTAGTGCGTGAGGTCGCAGGCTGAGCATGTAAGGTTCAAAGGGAGAGGGGAATTTTGTTTCTTCCAGTAAACTTTTCTGTAATCCTCACACCACCCTCTGAGACTGGCCTTAATAAGAGAGAGAAGGAGAATGCCACACACACAGCAGGAAGCCCTAGATGGCTTAAATACAGAGAAAGAGGCATTTGCGATTCATGGGTCTTAATTTTGTTGTATCATAGCCTTGGGTGGTCTCGAATTTGTGACAATCCTCCTGCTTCAGGCTTCCAGGTGCTGCATTACAAACTGGGAGCCACCAGGCCATTGTTTTATTTTTTTAAACATGTATTATTTACTTTCTGAATCCACCAGAGCCTGACCCCAGAGCTGACTGTCACAAAGCACCACAGACCCTAGCCAGCAATTTGCATTGTTATCCCTTGCACAGTTCTGAGAGATGAATATCCACAAGCAACTAATGGGTATTCTAGGAAAGCGGGGGTGGGTTGATATTTTTTTTAAAAAAACTCTACTGATGTAATTAATTCTGTAAGTAGGATAAAAAGT